CTTTAAAAAATACAAGAATAAGCTCCTCTTGACAACTGAAAATTTTATATTGCTCTTTTTCCCTTTGAGCTTTTATTTCCATCCTATTTCTGCTGTTGAATTTTATGCTAATGTAATATATTTTATTCTTAAAAGTATTTTATTGATCACTTTTTCACATATTTGTCATAAATGTATGTTAGAAGTTGAAATTGAAATGTACTTAAATTTCCTATAATTATTAGTTTCTGATTATTTAAGATTTTTATGTTGGATTAAATATTATAGTTTTTGTTGTAATACTAACAATATTATAATTAGTAGTAATATATAATTGAACAAAACAACATATATATTCATTAAAGATAAAAAATTGAATTTTATTGGAAATGTACCACAATAAGATGGGACTATTTTTTTAATTAGTTCTTGTACTTTTAATTAATATTATTTAATTCTAGAATGACACAGGCTTCTATATAAATTCTATTCCTATTTTTATTTTTTATAGACACAGCACCAAAGAATATTGTTGATGTTGAAAATGGAGTAAATTATGTAACTGTAATTTTACTTAATTCTCTGAATGCCTTCCAAGTTATGGACCAACAATCTCACAGTGATCTAATACCTAGAATAATTTTTTTATGATCTACCAGCTAAAAATGTGATTATGTCTCCTTCTATACAGTTGAAAGCAAAGAATTAGGAAACACCTGCTTTGCAAAAGGGTTTATTACCAAATATTTGAGCCATTCTCTGTTTTCAGTACTGACACCATTATTTCAAATTATCTCTTTCTTTGCTGCACTGGAGGTTTTGTTTTGTTTGCTGAGTTTTTGCTTTTTTAATTATACAGGGCAGGGGTTGGCAAATTATGGCCAGCTGATGCTGGCCAAATTCTGCCATCCTGTTTCTGTACAGCCCTCAAGCTAAGCATGGTTTTTACATTTTTAAAAGATTGTAACACACACACAAAGGAGAAGAACATTCAGAGATGTATGTGGCCCACATTTTCTGAAATATCTACCATCTGACCCTTTTCAGGTAAAGTTTTCTGAGTCCTAATCTAGGACAAAGCAACTTCCTGCTAAAGTCAGGAGAGTGACGACACACCTTAATTTGTGCAGTGAAGATGGGCCATTGTGAAAGGGTCTGTCATGATGCTGGATTCTCAAGATGATCAATTTTCTTTTTATTTTTTTTTAACTTTTTATTTTGTGTTGGGGTATAGCCAATTAACGATGTTGTGACAGTTTCAGATAGAACAGCGAAGGAACTAGGATGATCAATTTTCACAGAGGACATATGGAACATTCAAATTGGCAAACGATTCCCTATGTATTGCTGCATAACCAATACCCAGAACTTGGTAGCTGAAACTGAGAACAGTCATTTAATTTGCTCGCGGATCTGTACCTTGAGTGGGACTGGGAGGGGAAAGCTGTGCTTCACGGGACTGAGCTAAGGGCTGGGAGATGTGTTTCCTAGATGACCTCTCACATGGATGTCAAGTTGTCCACAGCTATGGGAGCTCAGAGGGTGGAGCCGGGGGCTTTAGGACACGTGCAGGCTGGTCCTTGACTGGTATTTGGGCATTTGGGTGTGGGGAGGGGGTCTCACCTCCCTAACTGGTGAGAGTGGCTTTCTGTGCTTAAATTGTTTATACAAACAATGTAGTTTATGCTAAACACCAGTTTCCTTCTGAGGGTCTAGAATCTTGGGATATACTAGGCAGAGAATGCCTACCAGCCCGGCCCACCATAAAAGCCTTGGGCCGTTTGTCTCCTAGCCCCTCTTGACAACGACAATAAATGTTAGCCACTCAGTCGCGTCCAACTCTTGGTAACCTCATGGACCCACCAGGCTCCTCTGTCCGTGGGATTCTCCAGGCAAGAAAATTGGAGTGGGTAGCCATTCCCTTTTCTAGAGGATCACCCCAACCCAGGGACTGAATCCAGGTTTGCCACATCGCAGGCAGCTTCTTTACTGCCTGAGCCTCCAGAGAAGACCACAAGCCCTTCTTGGCAGATGTCATCTCACACGCGTGGTCACGCACGTTGCAGGAGGAATTCAGCGCATCCTGTGTGACCCCCAAGGGCGAGGACTCCAGAGACTTGTGCCTGTCTCTCCTGACTTTGCACCTTTTCCCTTTGTGAGTTTGCATTGTACCCTTGCATATAATAGTAAATCTTAGCTGGGGGTACAACCATATGCTGAGTCTTGTGAGACCTCATAGTGAATCAACAAACCTGGGGGTGGTCTTGGGCCCCCCTTCACAGCTTCTCTTCATGTAAGCTGCTCCATGAGGTCTGGGCTTCCTCACAGCATGGTGGCTGGGTCCCAAATCAAGGGCCTGAGAGAATGTGCCCGGTGGACCTCACCTCAGAAGTCACGTAGCATCACTTCTGCCCACTCTGTGAGTTGAGATATTCACAGAAGTCCACCCAGGTTCAAAGGGAAGATACACAGACGCCTTCTTTTGGTGAGGGTGTGGCAAGGTTCCAGAAAATATGGATGGGAAATATTGTTTAAGCTAATCTTGAACAATAAAATCAGTCATACCCTTAAAAACACCTGAAGCTACATTCCCTTTGAAATGTCTCTGAATACCTCCAGGTTGGGTTTCCCAGTTTGAGACTACTGGCGCAGTGAATAAAACATTGACTTTTGAGTCAGAGAGACTGAGTTTGAATCCTGGCTCTGTAACTTCCTATCAAGAAAGCAATGTCCATCAGTAATTTCCAAACATGCAAACCTGTTGATGGTTCTGAGGGTTCAGGAGCAATTGCTTGAGGCCCAGAGACCAGATATGAAGCTTTGAGAATTTACTAATCTATTCATTCAACAAATATGTATTGAGTGCCTTTTATGAGTCAGCACTGTGTGAATCCTAGATGTTCAGTGCTTGGCCAAATTGACCCAGTCCTCATGGACCTTACAGAAGAGGAAAAAAACAAATCAAATGATCACACAAATGAATAACATGTTGTGTGAAGCTCCATAAAAGGAGAATCCAAGGGTGAATTCCACCAGAATATAAACTCCATAAGGGTTTTGCGTATTTTGTTCTCTGATGGATCTCTAGCACCTAGAAGGTGGCCTGGCACAGATCAAGTGCTAAATAAACACTTGTTGAATGAATGAGTGCATGAATGAATGAAATCTATGAGGTTACTTCTTGAAGGGCTAGTGTAAATCCTTATAGGAAGTGCTATTTTGGCTGGTGTTAAAGATAAACTCCATTTTCTTAGCTCGATTTCTACTGAATGAATTTGTATTAACCCAATTCTCAGGAAACTAATTTATGCACCAGAATATACTTATTATTTTTGTGGTGGAGACATATATGATTTAGTATTTCCCTAGGAAGCACCCAAAAAACTCCAAAGGGAACTATCTTTGGTTTTACAATTCTGCTGTGTTAAGCAGTATAGTTAGAGACCTCTTGAGGAGCCAAATTAATTATCAGAAGGCTAATATAGAAGAACCTAGAATCAGTAAAATGGAAACCACATAGATTTAAGGGATAGTCACACAAGTCACCCATACAACTTACATAAAACCACTTTCCTACCAGGAACACTCCTGTGTACACATTCTTCCTTTCTTGGTGGTGCTTAGGAATCATAGCAAATCACATTGTTAGAATTACTCCTTTTCCTAGATTTCAAGCAAGGAACCAGACTGATATGAAATTCCAGGGCCCTATTCTTCTGCTTGGAGCCGTCTGTGAACCTAGTCTCATCAAGGAAGCTGTCTTCTCGAGCTTATGCCAATGTGACCTTCCTCCGAGTTCCTGGCATCCTTTAAAATCAAGGGTCTATGAAGGTACTTGCTTGTGTAGGGGAGCAAATTCACCATTCGCAAAATGTCTCTTTGGTATGTGGATTATTTCAAACTGAAAACAATCAAAGCCTCAAAGACTCATGGAGAACCTTTGACCTTCTGTCTATCTGCCTAAAGATTGTAGACAGAGGACAGTTCCGGGAAGGGCATCTCACTGCAGGTAACTATAGTATGAACTAGACGTGTAGACAAGAAGAAACCTAGCAAAGTTTGTTTAAATTCCTCTCTGTCTCACTGTCTCTGCATGGCCCAGCAAACATTTGTTCACCAAACATTTGCTTTTCTATCTCCATGTCAATTGCTTTCCTCCCCCTTAAGATCCCAAACCACTTCTCCCAACATCCTCTTTTGTCTTTGAGGATGGTCTTTACTGTGAGGGTTTTGGCCATTTTGGAGAGTTACTCACTTCTGGGTCTCTCCCTGCGTATGCATGTTAACAAACTTCTGTTTGATTTTCTTCTGTTCATCTGTCTCATGCAAGTGTGCAAAGTCACTTCAGTCCTGTCCAACTCTTTGTGACCCTATGGACTGTAGCCCACCAGGCTCCTCTGTCCATGGGATTTTCCAGGCAAGAATCCTGGAGTGGGTTGCCACGCCCTCCTCCAGGGGATCTTCCCGACCCAGGGATCAAACCCAAGTCTCTTACATCTCCTGCATTGGCAGGTGGGTTCTTTACCACTAGAGCCACCTCATCTGTCTCACATCAATTTAATTCTTAGACCAGCCGGAAGAACCTAGCAGAGTAGAGGAAAATTTCTTCCTTCCCGACATATGCCTCTTACAGGAAGTCCTCCGTGCATCCATCTGCTCTCTCTGGGTAGTGCACCTATGTCTGTGTGGATAAGTGCAGTGTTTCTGTGTGACTCTCTGTGCACCTGCATTCAGGTGTAACAACAAAGTCTTGTGCTTTACTTTGCAAGCCCAGTGAGACCATTCCCCTCACTGTTTCAGCATATCACCCAGCAAGGAAGCATACACGTGTATATCTGGGTATTGAGAAGGCAGACACATATTTGCTATCCAAAGTCCCTGAGGGCCATTTGAAGACTGCTGATTCTGCTTAAACCAAATGACAGGTGAGTCAAGGGAGGATCTAGAAGACTGCGCCCTACTCGGACCCCAGAGAAGCTGTCACTCGCTGAACCACGAAGGCGAGAAGGGAATGAGTTAACATGAGCGCTGGCAAGTCTCAGAAGAGGATTTTGCTCACAAAAACTGAAAATAGCACGTGGAAGTAGGACATTTGAGCCTTATGGAAAAGAATTAAAGGATATTCTATAACAAAATACTGTTAGGAAGGTGGGAGATCTCTACAGAACCACAGGGGTCTGCAGTGCTGTGGATGCAAAGGGTCATGTCTAGCTCATGAAACATAATAATTTCCTAAAAATGAAGGTTTCCCCCATCTGCCTTTATAAACCGAATGTTCCTAGTCACAGTCTTTCAAGTCAACAGTAGGACAACAAATTACGTTTTTTAAGCAGCAGTGCCATGGAACTGTCACAGCCACTAGAGCATTGAGTAATTTACTATAAGATCTTCAAAATCATCAGGAGAGCAGCAAAAGGAAAGCAGGGGCAGTGACCCCGAATCTTCTGGCCTCAGGACCACAGAGGTCGATGAATCGGGCTTCCTGAAACACCACTTCTGGCCTTGCCCTCCCTCTCTCCTCTCTCTGAGACTGGGCTTTGCATTCTCAGGAATGCTGAATGCATCTTGAATTGAACCTTTCCTTAAAAAAAAAAAAATTCATTCCCATGTATTAAGTCCCTTCTAGGACATAGTCCTAGGTTACATCAGAGCTGCTGCTTATCTGCCTGGAGCTTTTGGACAAATTAGAAAAGGCATCATTTACACTTTATCTTAATCTATTTTAAAAAATTGTCTGGGAAGTTCCCTGGTGGCCCAGTGGCTATGACTCCATGGTTCCAATGCAGGGGGCCCAGGTTTGATCCCTGGTCAGGGAACTAGACCCCACACACTGGGACTAACAGTTCACACGCCACAACTAAAGATCCTATGTGCCACAGCAAAATAAACATTTTTTAAATAAAAATAAATTGTCTTAACTAAATAAGACCCTTTCTCACCAGCTGCAGGAAAATTGTCTGTGATGTCTAGGATGTGAACAGCATCCTTTTAGAGTTAAAAGCCAGGCCTGGAAAACAAACTATTTGGATTCAAGCTCTAGCTCTGCCTCTTCCAGAAAATTGCTGAACTTTTCTGGGCACTAGGTTCCCCCCATTTGTAAAATGGGGATAATAGACCTCACAAACTCCTCATGGGAATTCAATAAAATGCTGTGTGTAAAGCACTTATTATGATGCTCATCACATAGTGTGGGTTGTACAAAAAAGACAGGAGCACACATTAATAACACACATGATGCAAATTAAAAATAGGATTTATCAGGGGGAAACTTACAAGCATAGAAGTAACGTGTGGTCATGAGAGGCTGAGGTCCCACTATAACCTAGACAGGTGTGGGGGACTCAGCATAGGAGGTAAGAACATCATAGAAAGATCCCAGGAGAGGAGGGCCGTCTCTATACACAGAGAAAGACGCACAGGTACATCTAGGCAATTTCGTAGTCATGGAGCTTCCTGAGTCATCAGCCAGCCTTGCTAGCGTGAGGAGGCTCCCGGGCTCAACCTCTGGCATCAGGCTCTTCCTCTCCTAGCTAACTCTGACCAGGCTGGCTTCTTGCCACGAAAGGGGAGGAAATAAGCTGCGAGGGCCATGTGATTTTCTTTCCTCGGAGAGTGTCACACAAGAAAGCATGTGAGGAAACAAGCATTTTTCTGCCTGTGGCAAGGGTTGAACTCAGCTTTTCCAGTTTCCAAGGCCAGAGATCTTTCCACTTGGCCGTGTTGCGTCTGCTAACAAGTCAGCCTAGAAATCATCCAACCAGTTTTAATTGAAACTAATTCCAAATCTCTTAGAGTCATAAATTGAAAAGGACAGGAGAGATAATGTAATTCAATCCAACACTGGCAGACAAAAGTGAGGTTCAAAATGGGCATTTATTGGGTTACCAGTATGAAGTGGCAGAGTCAGGCTTGGATTTTCATCTTCCAAATCCCATTTCCTCTTAAATTGCAATAAAGTACAACGTAACCTTGTTTATCACACAAGTCGCAGAGATGCCATTAAAAAGGGCTTTATGGCTTTAATCTACAAAGGTTTAGGAAAAGACAGCAGCTTCCAGAGTAAACTGAGAGAGTAGCAGAGCCAAAGATGATTGCTTCATTTTGTTCAAACCCTTGGAATTTTGTAAGTAAGAAAGAGAAGTTAGATCATTTAGCAAATAATGATCAAGAGAATACTGCTTATTAACATCTATGAGATGTAGTCAAAATTTATTCAGAGGAAAAGTCATAATCTTAAAACCTTTTAAGCTTAAGAATAAATATGGTACTTCCCTGGTGGTAGAGTGGTTAAGAACCCCCTGCCAAGGCAGGGGACACGGGTTCAATCCCTGGTCCAGGAAGCTTCCACATGCTGTACAGCAAGTAAAACTTGGGGGCGACAACTACTGAGCCTGCGGGCTTAGAGCCTGTGCTCCGCAGAAAAAGAAGCCACCGCCATGACAAGCCCGCACACCGCCAGGAAGAGTAGCCCCCACTTGCTGCATCAACCCCCAGCATCAGCACCGTTCAGAGAATTTGTTAGAAACGTACTTTCTGGAGCCCCACCCCAGAAGCTACTGAGTCACAGACTCTGGGGGTGGTGCCCAACAAACCCAGGTTCCAACAAGCCCTCTGGGTGATTCTGATGCATAGCCAGGCTGGGGAAGTGCTGTAGTAGCCCTCATTGATGTCACCCAGTTTAGCATCTATTAGAGCCCACTTCCTGTTGGTTGCATCACAAACAGCTCCGAAGGAAAAAAATTCCATTCCTTCGCAGCCCCTCCACCGCTATAAATAGGGAACACTTGCTCACCAGCAGCTGGAGTTCCGGCCCATCCTTGTTGGAGCTCTCCATCTCCTTCAGACAGCTGCTGCAGAATACCAATAGCAAAACGTACAAGGATACTCAGCCATGCTGGGGGAAATTAGACTCTCTTTTAGGTCTTGCCCAATAAAGTCACAACGCAGTTTTGAGGTCTGGAAAGCAAGGGTTGCCCCACTTTTTTTTAATGAACAAAGTTAAGGTGGAACTGATAGACAGCTTCCCTCGTGGCTCAGTGGGAAATAATTTGCCTGCCATTTCAGGAGACACAGGTTCAATCTCTCGGCTGGGAAGATCCCCTGGAGAAGAGAATGGCTACCCACTCCAGTATTCTCACCTGGAGAATCTCATGGACAGAGCAGACGGGCAGGCTATAGAACATCAGGTTGCAAAAGAGTCAGACACAACTTAGCAACTAAAACAGCTACAGACCCTAATCCTAACAAGTGAAATATAATGAGACAGCCAGGTCTAATGCTGAGGCAACAAAACTGGAAGAACCAGAAACCCGAATCCTTTCCCTGTCTCGGTTACTAACTCCCCACATGACCTTGGGAACATGACTTGCGCATTTTATTCTTTACTATTCCTGTCTGTGAAATATGAGAGATAATAACCCCTCCATACCCCCTCACAGACTGATGGGGAGATTCCTTCCAACATATAGAAAAGAGGTTTTTAAGAGAAAAGAACCATAGGCAGAGCTGATCCTAAGGTACCACACTCCTGTCTCACTCACCTCCTCCCAAACTCAGGGAGTAATGGGGAAGAACTAGGATTTTAAAGATCCCCAAGCTTATGCACGGGAATAACCTGAGCTTCTAACTCAGCACCAACACCCCAAACAGGCAGACTGGGCCACTTCAGAACCTTGCTTGTCCCTCTGCTGAAGAGGGTGGGGAGAGGTAGAGGGTGCTTTTGTTTCTTTAATATTTTATTTTTTATTATTATTTTATTTTTGACTATGCCATGTGGCATGTGGGATCTTCATTCTCCAACCAGGGATCGAGCCTGTGCCCCCTGCAGTGGAAGCTCAGGCTTAACCACTGGACCACCAGGTAAGTCCCCGACTTGCTCTTTGTAGATGGAACAGCTGCGCCAGGCCACTGAGGAACTTTACTGCTTTGCGTTTGTGTAGACAACTTGCCAATCCATGGCTTTGCGGGCTACATGGAGGAGAGTGACTTCCTGCCTCAGGGCCACAAGATAGGGCTTTGGACCCGTTTGCACTCCCACCTAGAATTCCATGAAGATTGAATTATCTTTGCCCAAGTCTCAGTCGGGGGTGTCAAGCCCCACAATTTAAATGAGTTACAACTCCATGAGTTCCTCGACCTCACCCACACCTACAGTGTGCGCTGGCCTGAGACTCCAGTTGAGCCTTAGAGTGACAGGCGCCATGGTGATGATGGTTGTTTCTTTCCCAGGATACGGGAAATCCACTGGTCGTCCATCATCAATTCCACGGTGCTTGTGTTCTTACTGGTGGGTTTTGTGGCTGACATTCTCATGCGTGTGCTTCGAAATGACCTGGCTCCGTACAACTTGACTGAAGAGACAACCTCTGGAGGTTCTGGGGATGACTTTGACCAAGGTGACAACGGCTGGGACATTACCCATACAGATGTCTTCCACTTCCTCCATACTGAAATCTGCTGTATGCTGATCTTGATGCGGGTGCCCAGTTCCTGGCCCTTGGCACTGGTGAGGGGGTAAAAATTAATCAGGGATTTCTTTCAAGGGGTAGAAGTAAGTAGGTGGTTTGTTCAGTAAAAAATCTGCAGATCTTCTCTTCCACCAGGTAAAAGGCAGACTTCAGGGGTGGGAAATCTCTAGCAAGGATGTGTATACCTTATTGTGGGTTTTCTGGTCAACAGAGCTAGAGTGGGAGTGTGGAGTGGAGGGTTGATGGAAGCTCTGGGTCTGGGAGAAAGGGGGCTGGCTGATTCCTCTGAAATTGCCAGAAAAGGGATAGATGAGCCCTAACACGGGCTTTGCACCTCCTCCCTCCAGGCGTTACTGCTGTGGTGCTTCTGGGCATGTTCAGTGAGCACCGTCTCAGGGTCATTCACCCAACAGCCCTGACTCACCGCACCTCTGGCTACGTGCCCAGACACTTCCACTGGCAAATCGGAAGCAAGCGTTGGGTGTAGAACATCACTCTCACCTCTGGCCTCTTCTCTTGTGAGGACTGCCCCTTTCCTGGCGGGCCAGGATAGGAACTTAGAACACATCATGGAACCTGCTTCCTCATCCCAGATCCACCAATTCACGGCAGTGCTGACCCACAGGCCATTGAGCACTGGCTGCCAGGGTGTCTTTTTCTTTAACTGAAGTATAGTTGATCTACAGTGTTATGTTTTTCAGGTAGATAGACAGATAGATACATATATATACGTAAGTAAGTAAGTGTTAAATGGCAGCCCACTCCAGTGTTCTTGCCTGGAGAATCCCAGGGATGGCGGAGCCAGGTGGGCTGCCGTCTATGAGGTCGCACAGAGTCGGACATGACTGAAGTGACTTAGCAGCAGCAGCAAGTAGGTGTTAGTCGCTCAGTCGTGCCCGACTCTGCGATGCCATAGACTGCAGCCCACCAGGCTCCTCTGTCCACGAGATTTTCCAGGCAAGGATACTGGAGTGGGTTGCCATTTCCTTCTCCAGGGGATCTTCCCAACCCAGGGATGGAACTTGGGTCTCCTGCACTGCAGGCAGATGCTTCACTGTCTAGGCTACAAGGAAAGCCCATATACATGAATATATTCTTTTTCAGATTCTTTTCCACTATGGTTTATTACAAGATATTGAATATGGTTCCCTGTGCTATTCAGTAGGTCCTTGTTGCCTGTTTTATATATAGTAATGTGTATATATGTTAATCCCAAACTCAGAATTTATCCCTCCCCCACTCTTTCCCCTTTGGTAACCATCAATTTATTTTCTGTGTCTGTGAGTCTATTTCTGTTTGGTAAGTTCATTTGTATCATTTTTTTTAACTCTTCATATAAGTGCTATCAGGTGATATTTGTGGAGGGTGCTTTTCCATAATTCTCTCTTACCCCATGGCTACCTTGATCAAATATTTTGAGCCCCAAATAGGGGTACATTCCTCACAAATGAAGGGGACCTATAGGGAAATGAGGTGGGATTTCCTAAATCAGAAGGTAAATTATAGCCCCTATCACCACCTGGACAACCTCTCCCCCTGCAGGAGCCCCTCTCAGAGGCCCGTGTGCTCCGCCCCCACCTCCTTCCATCAGGAGCTTCCTCAGAACCTATCTTTTCTTCACTCTTCCTTTATGTATTCTGAGTGCTCAATACATGTCTGTTGAACAAAAGATAAATTAGTGAATGGTTTAATTATCCCCCTTCGAGAGAGTGCTTGGCACACATTTTATCCTACTTTCACCTGCTTGTTACAGCCGAAATGTGCCCTGTATCCCCACCACAGACTGCCTGGGGCCACTGTTTCTTGAGATGGAGGATTTATCACAACAAGGAGCCTTAGTTGTTCAAATGTCCTCTACACAGTCAACCATGGCTCTGAGAAAAGAAATGACCTGGATGGTGGTTTTGTCTAGAAACGTCATTGTTAAGATATTAAGTGACTGAGTGATCATCACTCTATCAAAGGGCTGAGACACCTCCAGAAGCCAGCAATAGGTCTGGGATACGAATAACATCTGCGCATTGTCCTTGAGGCGTGAAGAGCAGATTCACACATAATTCAGCATTTGCGTGCATGCGTGCTCAAGTCGCTTCAGTCACGTCCGACTCTGTGCAACCCTATGGACTACAGCCCACCAGCCTCCTCCATCCATGGGATTCTCCAGGCAAGAATACTGCAGTGTGTTGCCATGTCCTCCTCCAGGGGATCTTCCCGACCCAGGGATGGAACCTGCGTCTCATGTGTACCTGCATTGGCACGACAGTTCTTCACCACTAGCACCCCCTGGGAAGCCCAACTCAGCATGTACGTCTGTGTTAATACAACTCGATTAACTCAGGCACAGTCCAGAGAGCAGAAGCTCGGAAAATAGAGTTGATGTCTTTTGGCTAGTACAAATTTGTCTGAATCCCTTCACGGGTTAGAGACTGCCCTTTCCAAAGTCCCAGGGGAGAAAGAAGGTGCCCTAAAGCGTCTCTCTCTCTTTTTTTTTTTTAAATTGAAATACAGTTGATTTACAGTGTTGTGTTAGTTTCAGGTGTACAACAAAGTAATTCAGATATAATAGTATATATAAATTCTTTTTCACATTCATTATGACATTATTATTATAATATACTGAATATAATTCCCTATTATACAGTAGGTCTTTGTTGTTTATATATAGTAGTTTGCATCTGCTAATCCCAAACTCCTAATTTATCCCTCTCTCATCTCCTTCCCTCTTTGGTAACCATATGTTTGTTCTCTGTGTCTCTGAATTGGTTTCTGTTTTGTAGATAATTCATTTGTGTTATATTTTAGATTCCACATACAGGTAATATCATACAGTATTTGTCTTTATCTGACTTCACTTAGTATAATAATCTCTAGGTCCATCCATGTTGCTTCAGATGGCATTATTTCATTCTTTTTCATGGCCAAGTAGGACTCCAGTGTGTGTGTGTGTGTGTGTGTGTGTAGAACATCTTTATCCATTCATCTGTTGATGAAAACTTGGGTTGCTTCCATGTCTTGGCTACTGTAAATAGTGCTGCTATGAACTTTAGGGTGCACATATCTTTCACATGAGAGTTTTCTCTGGATATATACCCAAGAGTGGGATTGTTGGATCATGTGTCAATTTTGGTTTTCATTTTTTAAGGAAACTCCACACCATTTTCCACAGTGGCTGCACCAATTTACATTCCCACCAACAGTGTAGGAGGGGTTCCTTCAAGTGTCTCTTAAAATGTATCCCTTAGGGAATATAATCAAGACTTTTTTAGCTGTTCTGATCTCTCCTTGCATTCTAATCGATGTATGAGGGAGGCCTTGGGTTTTGTCCATCTTAGAGATGAAAAAGTTGGGCACGGGGTGAAGCACCCGGCCCACGTGAACAGTCACAATCAGGGGAGGAATTCAAAGCTTAAAATGAAGTCCACCCAGCAAGGTAGGCCTGGGTGGAATCCTAAGATTCAGAAGCCTGTCCCGGCTTTGTCACCTCCCCTCTCTCTGCTCCCTCTTGTCTTACTTTCTCTGTAGATGTCTCCTCAGCCTCATGCCTGCCCAACAGCCCAGTGTCTGGGGTTTACCGTCTCTTGCCTGGGTCTACATTCTCTCCAGAACCAAATACTTTTTTCTATACGAGGTCGTTCCTGTGGTCTCCATTCCCAGAGAGAACTTGCTTCTTCTGCATGGACTCATTTTTGCAAAGTAACAGATTGCTAGTTCAGATCCAGCAACAATAGACCAGAAAGGGGACAGACGGCCAGAGACAGCGCCTCCTTCCTCTGATTGCAGAGTGGGGCCACATTCAAATCATGCCCCACGAACTTTGCTAAAGTGATATGTTCTCTCTTGGAAAGATACATGCAGAAGGCCTCAAGCAAGTAACAGAAAAAGGTCCCCACGAGTCCCCCACATGTAACTCTACAATGATCATAGCACTGACATTTGAACACGCTCTACCAGGTATCAGTTCAGTTCAGTCGCTCAGTCGTGTCCGACTCTTTGCGACCCCATGAATCGCAGCATGCCAGGCCTCCCTGTCCATCACCAACTCCCGGAGTTTATTCACACTCGTGTCCATCGAGTTGGTGATGCCATCCAGCCATCTCATCCTCTGTCGTCCCCTTCTCCTCCTGCCCCCAATCCCTCCCAGCATCAGGGTATTTTCCAATGAGTCAACTCTTTGCATGAGGTGGCCAAAGTATTGGAGTTTCTACCAGGTATCAGACATCCCAAATCTCACCCCCACCCTGTGAGGTGCTACTACCTCTGTGTTACAGATGCAAAAACTAAGGCTCAGAGACACTAGTGAATGGCTCAGTGGTGAGAGAGCTTGAATCTGAACCCAGGTCAGATTGACTTAAAAGCTTGGCTTCCTGATTTCTATGTTCTTCCACATTCAGCTCAACTCTGAGACGGCTGACTCATACCAAGCTACACTGAGAGCCAGACAGCATCCTAACAGGCAGAGCTGGGTCATGCTCCTCTTGTCCTCCTCATCTGTATCCCAAACTGTCACCCCTGTGAGAAGCGGATTTCCTGCAGTTTTTCTCTCCACCCTGCCCCCACTCCCTTCAACCTCTCTACCGTTCATGGGTGCTTTCTGATGAAAAGGTATTGACAACTCTTTATAACTATCCTTTAAGTTCTCCTTTAAAAAACCACACACATTCATATCTTAAAATGTGAAAATATGGCTCAGTGGTATAAAAACTTATGTCGGAACAAACATAAAAGACAGGACCTTCAGAAGGAGACCTACCAGCCTGTACAACCTGTTGCAAAGCTATTTTACATGTCAAAAAAATCACAAATGCTCCAAGATCTGCTGTGCCCTGGAAATGCTTTCTGGAACAAGCAGCAGTGAGAGAATCTTTGTGTTCACCTTGCAAACATCACCAGAATTAAAGCCCTGGCTCTGGAACGTCCCTGGCCGTCCA